TTATTTTATTTTATTTTATTTTATTTTATTTTATTTTATTTTATTTTGCAGTGCTGGGGATCAAAACAAGTAAGCACTGTACCACTAAAGTCACCAGCTATAAAATTTTTATTTAAAAATTGTAAAAAAGAGTTTTAAGGCTAATATATTAAGTAAAGTGAACATATGTTAGAGGTCCCAAGTTATTTTTCTTGTGGGAGGAAAGTGTATTAGTTCACGGCTTCAGGAATGCCAGTCAGTCCTGGCACAGAAGGCACGGTAGAGCTGAGCCGTTCACATCATGCCAGAGAGGAAGCAAAGAAAAAAATCTGAAGCTCTGCTGAGTCCGCAGGCTTGGGTTTTATTGTTGTTTGCTATTGTTGTTGTTTCCTATTGTTGTTGTTGCTACTGTGATTATTATTATTAGTTTTATATTTAAAAGGTTTTTAGAAACTCACTCAATAAACATCTGATACTCAAATAGAAAGAAGTTTTAATTATGTTATGTGAATATGTGACCACACTTCTCTCAAGTATTTACTTACTGAACAAATCAATAATGCAACCTGTACACTTAACAAGGGTTAACTCATTCCGCTACAACTCTACAAAGCCTCCTAAAGTCTTGACTTTTAACTGAAAAGATGGAAGCTCATAACGCCTTGGTAAAGTCCTCAAGGCCATCCGCCTAATTACATCTCAGGAGAGCACAGCTGGCCTGGCACTCAAATCCACTCTAACAGTTACAACCTCCTCCCAGTCTTACTCTTGAACGATGCATGTGCTGCCATCACAACATGAGGCAGATATGATGAGGGAAGCACTTCTCTACATGACCAACTGACAGTAGACAAAGTCTGCTTAAAATCCAGGGTTTCATTTTGCAAAATGCAAGCCCATTTAATGGTAAAATGTTTATTTAAAGTTTAATTAAGACTTTATGTAGCTGGGCAATGGTGGCGTACGCCTTTAATCCCAGCACTTGGGAGGCAGAGGCAGGCAGATCTCTGAGTTCGAGAGTTCGAGGCTAGCCTAGTCTACAGAGTGAGTTCCAGGACAGCCCGGGCTACACAGAGAAACCCTGTCATGAAAAAACCAAAAAAAAAAAAAAAAGACTTTATGTTTAAATACTGAAAGTATCTTACTACCATAAATCAAAATAAAATTTTAATTATTAATCTTTCTGCTTTAGAAAAACAAAGACTTCTATAAACTGAGAACAAACATTTTTATCAGAGAGAAAAAAAATGATGGTGCCAAGTACAACCTTTTCCCAAAGTACACTTAACCTAACACTATGAGTACAAAAATTATAATTTTCACAAAAGTTTCCAAAAATGCAATAATTTTTTCAATTTGTTTAAATCATAGTCATTTGAAAGACTCATCAGACTCAAGTGCTACAAATTTTCTCTCTTCTCTTTATACACAGGTGTAACTTTAATAGATCTCTGTTTTTCAAGTATTCACGTAATTTTAACTTTTGAGTGGTCTCCACACATACCACAAGATCAGTATGGATCCTGTGGAACCGACTCATAAACCCAAAGAGACAACAGGCAAAGGAAAAAGTTAGGGTTAAATAGGATACGGATAGTTTTTCTTATTGGGAATTAATTTCTTAGAAAGTCATCTGAATATTTTGAAAGTCATTAGTGACTATTTTGATATTTGCTATATCTTGTTCATTTTAATTACCACATTCTAAACTACACAAAGATTCACACAGAGAAGAGCAGATTTAAGGACCTCTTCCCCGCTCATGTTCACTAAACGAAGCATGAGCACTTACTGGTCTGGTACTCTTTCTACAAAGCCCTCCCACGGTTTTCAGAAAAGCACTAGCCTCGCACTCACGTGATATGACATGATCCATATATTGAGGTAAGTAAGGAGCCCAGGTGTCGATAGTCTCCTTCCGTCCTGCCTGCTCAATTCTTCTCAGCTCTGCTAGAAGCAGGGCCTGTGCAGCCTCTCTCACCTAAGAGAAGAGACGTTGAGAGAAAAGAAGCACGTCAGTTGGTAAAATGATGCCCACAAACCAGAAAATTCATAGTGATATAAAATTAGAAAATATATAAATATCTTATTTATATAAGAAAGACTATTAATCTAATAGTGAAGTAAGTAGTTATGGAATAATTAAATGCTGGCATCTTGCACATGACCAAAGATGCTTTCATTCAAAAATATTTTTTAAGCTAACGAATAGACATTTAATTAGTTTTATGCTTAAAACTTGATTTTCTAAAGCATTCTTATAATACAGCACTTTCAATTATTAAATTTCCATGTATCTCTTATTGTTAAAAATCAATGTTGGGAGGATTAAATTGTTTTTCTTTATGCCCAATAGAAACTTAACCTAATTTAGTGAATTCCTTATATACTACAGTTCTGCTTGGAACTAAGGGAAGGGAATCAGGGCAGGCAAATAAATATGTTAAAGTCATTCACTGAATAATAATGTTTGAGTCAACAGGCCAGAAAGATGACAGAGGGCTCCAAAAAATTATTTCTTGATTTGAAATTTACATTTCACCAAGCCTTTTTAATATTTGTTATCTACTTTATCACATCAATATTGCCTCAAGCATTGATCCTTTATATAATCAAATAGGTATAAATCCACATGATTCACATATACCTGGACACAAACAAAATGGGTAAATAGATTCCTGCGTAACCTCTTTCAGTTTTATAGAGGGAATCATTTTTCAAAATCATATCAATTTTTCTTCCAATTGACCATGCAACTTTTTATTTTGCAGTTTAAGTTTAGTTATGTTTAGCAGAAATTCCACAGGCATGAGCCCAAAGAAGGTAGTCTATTTTTAATCAAAGTACAAATCAATTTATTCAATTTATTAACTATTTATAAACTGAGGGAATAATGAAGCTTCATCTAAAAAAAGAGTTTGAGTAAACCATTCTTTATAAGTATCTTGTCTTTTAAAGTAAATTAAAAGATTATTCAATGCAAATCTATGTAAACTTTAGTGTTTCTCAGTTCTGCTTGGAGCTGAGTCAACAGAGGCCAGAGCAGACCGATACCTTAAAGTATTGTGATGTTTCATTCAGCAGTAGGCCACACATATAGAGGTCCTATCAAATGCTTTCTCAGTGACATCATGGTCAATGAGCAAATGTACATTTGTATAATCCATGATGTTCATGAAGCAACATACCCTAGTAACATGTGTGTTCTCATGAGAATTACATTATTATCTCGCCTTTACAAATTATCTACAAATAGAATAAGCAAAGTATCCAGGGTTACCAAGTTAATAATAGTTGGCACTGACATTTAATTCAGCTCTATAATAATTCAGACGACTGTCCTGTTTTACTACAACGTAGGACCTTCCATTTGGTCTCTGACTGCTCACTTGGAAATTTGATGAAAGGGATTGTACCAAATAATCAATCATGGGGAAGGGGTTATATGTCTTTGCATGTGAGTGCATGATCTCTACAGAAACCAACATTTAAGAAATAACTCCACAAAGTATGCGAAACTTTTAATGAAATACTCAATGACTTTTTAAGAAGTAAATAAATAAACATGTTTGGACATTTACTGTTTACTACAGAAACAAAGGAGGAAGATGGAGAAATCTTGACTTCCTGTCTTCTGTAATAGAATGAATAAGTGCTAACGGGGGATAAAAGTTACTTTTGATTAAAATTCACATTTCACTGTGGGATAGCTATAGCTCCCTCATCACTCAGCCTTACCTCCAAGCATCGGTCTTGCCATCTTCGAGCTAGCATCTCCAGGAGAGGAGGCCTGAATTTATCCAGCCCCAGAAGGTCAGGCAGCATAACACAGTGCATGGCAGCTAACTGGCTCCATCCTATCAAAAGGTGACATATTACAAGTATATTAAACATCTTGGTATTCTACAATAAGTAGAAAGTTTTTATTTATGTACACTTATCAAAAACAAAAAGGGAAGATCTGTAGGTTAAAAATAATTGTAGTTTAGTATTATTATATACAAAATGACCTGAAATATGTATTTTTTCAATCATTTATATGTAGACCTACAAGATGTGAAGTTTTTAAAAACCAATAAAAACCAACTGTTCACACAGTTGTGCCAAATTCCCAAAGAAAATACACATTTCTAAAAAGATTTTCTAAAATAAAGATATTAGAAGATGGGAAAGAATGAATAAACACATGTGAGAGCTACACATGTGACCTTGTTACCATGCAAAAGGGCATTCACACAGACATGCACACAGGTTCTGATCCATGTGCTGCCAACATATCAGTCAAAGGGGCTGTCTTCCCTTTTTGTCAGATGCTTTAATTAAGATCGTATAATCATCTCTCTTACTAAATGAATCAGAAACTTAGTCATAATCAAAGCTGAAATAGCATAATGCCAATTTTAACAAAATGCAAATGAAGACATTCCACAAAATTAAAAACCTGATAATCCAAAATTTATAGTCTTAACCATCACTAATTCCAACTGAAAGAAAATCAATTTATTTTTTCCAAATTTCTGATTCTTGATATGAAATCTAATAATATGAGAAAGACTACCACTATACTAGTATACAGATTGTAGGAGTTATTTCACCTTTATTTTATAAGTGTACAAAATTGTATAGTATATATTATATTACATAGTCAATGAATGCCTCATCTTCTCAAATTATATATGAGGCCATTATTAGTTCAGTGTATTGTGCCATTTTCTCCCAAGGATAACATCTAGAGACAAATAATTAGGAATGGATGAAAAAGCATTCACTATCATTTTTAATGTATTATATATGAACACAGAATTTTATTAGTTCTGTGTTTTAAAAGAATTAAAACTGTAGTCTTCTAAATTAATAACAAAACACTATAATAAATTATAAAGTAATCTCATAAATTATTAAAAGGAAACAAGTCGCCTACTTAAAATTCATCCATTCAGTAGGAAATTTTCATCAACTGATAACAAATATTTAATTGCATTAATAAAGGTGATAGACATACATTTCATTTTGAAATTTATAACACATGAATATATCATATATATCCATATATGGATATATATATTACTCACATGAGTAAGCTCTTGATTAGTTTTAAAGTCTCCCCGACACAGTCTGACTGAACTACTTATCAGCTAAGCACATATCATCCTTACCAAAGCCAATAATTACCAATATACAATAGTATATTGTAAATTAACAAATAACTATTTTTAAAATAGCAACAAATATTATTCTAATTATTCCAATCCAGCCTTCACATACAAGCTTCATCATAGTTCTCTGATAGGGAAACAAAGCAAACAATATATTATCACATTAAGTTCCTACACTTTCTTTCCCGGGGAGTACTTACTACTGTACCAGGGGCTCTGCTTCACTGGCAACGGAACATTCCCTCTGTTTAAGTGGCCTTGCAATATTAGCTTTGGTGAAGAGTCTGGATCATTTAGGGTTATATTTTAGATTTTATAAAGCTCCTCCTTGTTATTTTACAGACTGTTAATAGTTGCGATCACATGGCGACAGTAGCTGAGCTGTGGGGCTCACGGGCTCAGCACATGTCAGGGACAGACAATGCCAAGAGAGGACTGAGAAGCAAGTATCTGAATGGTCCATTCTCAATTCCACATCCCCCAAAGTAGTTTCCATTTGTGTAACTACACAACAAGAATATGCTGGCCCAACTAAATCCAAAGGCTTAAATTAGAGAATTTTATGCCTCTGCCTGAAGCAGTAACAGTAGAAAAGGTGAATTCCTATCAGCTTACATAACCAATCTGAAGACTTTTCAAATGAGAATGCAAATTAACCTTTTTCCCTTACTGCTTTTAGTACTAGAGCACATGTTAATAGAAAGACAGCACACTGTCTCTCATCTACTAATAGTACATGAAAAATATGTTTATTATCGCTAATGCCGCAAATCAAATGGAAAAAAGTACTGTGACAATTCAACTTTTAACAAAGACTTCACGACCAAGACTAGCATCTCTGCACTCCCGTAACAGTGCTCTAGATGACAGTAGACATGTTCTGCTCTAAGCAGGAGGGACATTACATGTTTAACAATTGGCACCTGGCATTCAGTTCAGCAAATAAGGTTTCAAAATGGGATTCATAAAAAATAAAGCAGATGGATGTATAAATCAGATTAAAAACAAAAATCAAGAGTAAGTCTATCAGGCCAAAGCAGAGAGGGAAAGGAAGTGCTCTAAAGAGAGAGAGAGAATACCTTCATTTACTAAGAAACAGGTGTGTAAAGCAGGAGAGGCAGAGGCAGAGCCAGAGTGATCAGCATCAGACCGAGCAGAAACGACAGGTGCAGCAGCTTGCAGAGAAAACAAGAAGAAATAAAGAGCAAAGAATTGAGGTACAGTGGTTTCTGAAAAAAAAACTCAATATTAGTGAAGAGTGAAAACATAGTTAGCAAAATATAGTGAACATATAAGTAAAAATGATGTTTTAATTGGAAAGGATCACTTATTAGAAAGCACTGCAAGGATGGGTTGTCTCTTTGAATCGTTATCTCAGTGTAGTTCAGCTTCCCCTTAAAGCCACCATCTTTTTGATATTATAAATCCACAATATAGCAAATCTTATGAATTTCACAAAGCAATGAAAACTACATTAAGAATTATCAGAAATGTAATCCAATCTTTAAAATATATCACAGAGAAAACTTTTAGGAAGCCTTCATAGTTTGATCATATTTTTCTAAGTTTATTCTTCAATATTATACATAAACTATTTTTAAATATTTCAAAAGAATACTCAACAGCATTTTGATCCTCTACACCTACATAAAAATTCATCATCAGATATAACAACTTGTAAAGAACGTACACAGCGCGCTCCACTTAACTCTTCTTAGAAGAATTTTAATATAGTTTCATTCAGTTTAAAATATATGCACTAAAACAATTATGAATTTTGTAATTCGTATACAGTGGATAAAACAATCCCTTCCCCGTCTCAAGAAAGTTGTACAGCCAGGAAAATGTTGCAGTTTAAATTATCATCTGAAAAAACCCGAGGACCTTATGGCATACACAGTCTACAACTGGAGGTCAATGTTAAGATTTAGGGGTCACCATTTGACACTTCCTTCCTATGAAAAAATTACCATATGTCATGCACAAGCATCTTCAAATTAATCCCTCCCGTCTCTGTCTCTTTTGTCACTGAGCAGCAATGGGTTTGGGCTCCTGAGCAGATGAGGCATTGTCTACTGAACGATATGTTTGCTTTTCATGCAGTGAAGTTCTTTTGTTAGAACTGGACAGCTGCAGGAAGCAACTTTTTTAGGATTTTCACACGAATGCATCATAATGTCACTCAGGCACGTGTGAGGTGACCAGCAGAACAAATAGAAGTCTGTGAACAGTAGGAGGATAGGAACTAGCTCCAGGCCTATTGCACCCATGGAAGTTTTATAGAGAAAACTGAAGTGCTTTCTTATTATGATAGACTTGGGTTTTATTTATTATGTGGTTATGACTATTTTGTGTTACACTCATGTATTTGTCTATCATAATATCTAAAAATTCCACTATAATAGTAAAACAAATACCAAATACTGAATATATTCCACTGAATAATTTTATTTTTCATTTCTCTTCACTATTTAATTACAAATTCAATTTAAATGACTGAGATTTACCACTCATGTAAAAAGCTAGTAAGGGCCCTGCTTACTACAGGATTGCCTGTGTGGCTGAACTTCATGCCTCCAAAAATGCTATGCACCCTGCTCTGGGGGACCCCAACAGTTGAAACTTTTCCATAGGAAATGTGTTCTTAGACAGTCTCACCCGTGTATATAATGCGTTCTTGTCATACTCCCATCCTGCCACCCGTCCCTTCACTACAGGTTACTTTCTCACATGCTCTAGAAAACAGTGTTAATTCTGTTTGATTTCACCCTAACTCTGTAGGTTCACTAAAATGAGAATATCAGAAAAAAATTTTAAAAAAAAGAAATGAAAGTTCATTAGTGACCGGTCACTACCATCTATGTCAAATAAATAGGATTAAACCATTATACTTTTTCAATGTATGAATAATCAAAATAGAAAATCGGGAGCAAGGCTGGAGAAGCTGCCTCAGCATGCATACTAGGACTTGCTGTTCAACCATGCAACTGCGTACAGGAAGAGAAAATAACATTCATGGCATTATAACTGTGGAGTCATATTTAGTGGAAGTAGAAATAGGTGCTTATTTATTCATGCTCTAATAGATCCGACGGATGCTACTGATCAAGTAATAGAGATTCAGAGATTAGATTTACTAAACTCTAAAAATCTCTGGAGCAAGGTAAAAAATATCTTACTCATACTACCTCACAACTATAATGGCAAAATCTAGAAATACTTTTACAGTTCATTGAAAAATTAAACTCTTGTCACAGCTTTTTTTTATTAACTGCCCACATTTAAAAAGAATCAGAAACTAGAAGAAAAAATATTACTCAAAGTAAAATGTTCAAAGTTTAGTAGTAAATGTCAAATCAGAAAAGTCCTGTGGATGAATATTGAAGAGTCCTAGCATAAATCATGTCTGCTTATCTGATGACAGAGGATAGGTGGCGTGTCACCATTCTTACAGACCGGAAGGAAGGATGAAGAGATGTGAGTTCTATTATTTTGCCAGGTAGGGCCCTTTAAAAACGAACTATTGTAGTTCTGAGCCTCATCAATTGTTTATTGTCCCATGGAAACTAGATCATTATAGCAAGCTTATACGACAAGATGTGCCTGTAAGTATTTGCTCCAGCTTTTCTTTACATAGCAGAAGCATGGGTTTTCAACATTTATAACATCTATGCTTTCCATTGCTACATAGATCTTTTCTC